ACCAAGTGAAAAAGTGGTTCATTTTTATATATATAGATTTAAATAGATTAGGTTAGACCATATAGCCAGATTATATTTATCATAAAATTAAATAAAATGTTATCAGTTCGTCCATATTACAATATTGTATTCATTCTTTTTTAGATTTACTTTCCTAATACATCCACGAGCCTCACATTTAAATGCTTGCAAAATTAACATATATCGACAAAAGAACATTACTTTGATGAACTGTTAAAAGCGTAACAATGTCTGCTTATACTCTATAAATATCTTAAATCTCTATTTAAGGGTTATAAGTAGCCACTTAACCCTTTTTCGTTAGGGGCTCGGGTACTTAAGCTCTTATGAGCAGTGTCATATGGCTATGCCCTGGCGAATACAATGTGTAAAAGAAAAATTTACGCCTTTTTAACAAACTTTCTAACTTCTGCTTCTTCAAAGTCGAAATTATTTATTTCAATTAGACCAGAAAGGCATTTTTAAACATCAACAAAAAATTAAAAGTGAAGCTATTTGCTCATTCCGAGGTGAAGATTCCTATGGAGAACGAGCAGGAAACTTCAAAACAACGAGCAAAACTTACTATTTTCAATATAATTGTTCTTTAATTAGACATAAATTAATACTGTTAATACACTACATGCGATCCACTGCCAATGAGACGACCTTTGATTGAGATAAAGAATATCCTCTTTCATTGTTTAGTCTTGGAGATAATAACGGCTTCAATCTACTCCTCAATAGTAGGTTTCATTAAGAATTTTCGATAGAAAAACTAATCATATTCAATCACAACATCAATTTGACTGTTGTTTTTTATTTTTTATGAGAGATCATCATCCAATGACTTCTTTCTTCACTTTCTTCTTCTCCCGCCTTGGATTCGGTTAGTGGAGCGAGAGTGCCAGACTCTTACTGAAAAAAACCACCCCGTTTCGACTCCTGCTCTTCGAACGGGAGCCCCGGCAACCCGTTAGGCCTTCCGCGGCTGAATAACTTCGGACCAAGATTTGAACTCGAATGTCCTGCGTAGCAGGCAATTTGACCGACTTGGACACCAAATTAGCATACCTTGTGGTAACTGGTTTTTTTTATGGAATAGGAGGCAAACAAGCATACGGATCTCCTAATGGTAAGCGATCAGCACCGCCCATAGACACCTGGAACACTGATAAGTTGTATCTAATTATGTTGCTCATTTGCTTGTGTTAATGTTATAATACAGGCCTAATGTAAGAACATACTAAATAAAAAAAAATTGCTCTTAAAATCGGCCAAACAAACAACATTCGAAATTCGGAAAAATACTGAGACTAATAAAAATAAATAAATATTTATGAGTTCTGGCAACACTCCATAATCACGGCTTAGATACTTATTTTTATGAATGAAACCAGAATAGACTGTTAACAAGATTAGGAGTAAATAATGTAGTATTATGTTACCTATTTTGACAAATAACATGATACCTCTTTAGTTTTCAAAGGGAAAATAGTTATACTTCATCCTGTTGTCGCAAGCAAAAGCAGCAGACGCCTAGCAAGGTATACAGATGAATGTACCTACAGGAAAGCACCGCGGTGCATAGTTGAAGACTACATGACATTGATAAAATTTTTAGGTAACATTAAAACAGCAGCATTCCGCAGCACGTGACGCGGCCACTGAGATATATGAGCCTCTAGCATGGTTTGAAACTAGTCGAGTACCTTGTTAAACAGTCACGTGAGTAAATAAAAAAATTTTTGAGTAGAAAAAATCAATCAACAAATAATTATTTCTTTATAATGTTAATATACCAACAAAGTTTCAAACGTAATATCTAATTGATGGTTATTATGTCCACGGAATTATATGCGGATCAACACCGGCATAAGACGTCGATGCACCGGCCATATCGCCGTTGGAGACTTTTCATTTTAAACATTTTTCATAATAATCATAAAATGTAAAACCGAAATTCTAAAACAAAACAGGCATTGAATTAACAGAAAAAATTAAACAAAAATTACAACATAATTCGAAATAAGAACATATAACAATACAATGACAGCTATGACAGCTGGACGATTTCCCGCGTAAACAAACGTCAATTAAGGATTGTATACAATTTTGTTAGGGATCGCTTGGCACTCTTGGCAGTATCTATAACCTTGTCGATGTCGTTGAAATACGATATTTTGAGAAGGATAAATTTCACTATCCCTTAAAAGCAAATAATTCGATAGTCAATTATTTATTTTTGGGGTTCATTTTGTAATTTAATTTGGGAGATTGTCACCTATAATTATGGGGAAACGTCACGCCTCTAATCTTACAAAGAGACAGACAGACGTGTGAGTCCATGTGAATAGAATAGTATTCCTTTTTAAGTAAAAGGGCAAATCTTAGAATCGAATCCCATGTCGATCGACGAAAAATCAAACGTGTCATTGAAATCTATATTATAGTTAAATTGATTGTATTTTGGATGTGAAATGTATAGAAGAATGACCTAGAGTGAGGATGTGTTATAAAAAACGTTCCTACAGCCAGAAAATTAACTCGTTCCTGTTATAACAAAATGAATATGTAGGTACATAATTTATACTGTCTAAGCATAAATATTAATATCTTCCCCGCCTATGTTCCAGCTACCACAGAACAAGCTAACAATGACATTGTACCATCGAACTCACAGAAAATCATTTTCACTTTACTCATAGCAAGCTGAATCATAAACAAAGGTGAATAACCTCAATTTTCTTTGACGTGAAACGTCAAAATTGAAATCGGAACTTGAACAGACGAAATTAAAATGACAATCTGTCATGGCGCCCGACGATGTTAACCACGAGACGTTTCGTAAGATAATTACCATATTAATTAATATTTCGGCTTTGTTAATTGTATTTCAAAGGATGCTAATTGTATTCTACTTACCTATTGAAGATTGTGTAAGAATTCTGTTTCAGATTTGTTTATATGTTTGCGTTTGTGCGTTTACAAACATACAAGTTCACATACACTGATCTGTGGATTACACAAAGAGTTATTTCCTGCAGGAATCTAACCTGCGCCACGCAGCGCGGCAGTCAGTTGCCCAGCCGCGGTGCCAACCGTGCAGTCATATGACACACAGCGTAATATAAATTCACGGTCTTTACCTTTGATCCTTGAAAAGCTGGTTCCAGAACAGTTGAGCAATGTAACCACCTATTTTAAACATGACCAGTTATGAGAGTCGTGACGTCTATCAAGTAAGCCTATTGCCCTTATACTGCATACCTACAATTTCAGATTTCAGATTCCGAGAACCCGAAAAGATTCTCTAGTCATCTATGGTAAATTTTATTGTGAACCTGATTGATAAGAGTAACCTATGGAGTTTCTTGTTCGTTCTTCTCCACAGGAATCTACACTTTGGAATGAGCAAATAGCTTTACTAGACGACTGACCGACGGACTAACACATTTTAATTGTTTTTTTTGTTTAACATAAAAAAGTGCCTTCCAGGTCTAACTGAAATAAAATGATTATGAAATGTGTTTTACTTTTTTTAACGGTCACTGTTTGTCCATGTATTTACACTTGCAACAAAATTTGGTCTCAGTAAATGAGTAACGGTTTCCAAACCAATCATCAAAATCAAATTTCAAATCGGAAAAAACACAACGCGTCACTACTACCCACAAACATTACAACGTACATACGTAATGAAATCTCCAATACTATGTATGACCTATTCAAATACCGTACAGATGATTAAATAAATATAACTCACTATACACTCATATGCACTCATAATTCGAACGTTATAGTAACTAATGAGTGCAATGGTAGCTGGCTGTCATTCATCAAAAGAATAGAGTTCCGCATTCCAAGTTTAAATTTAAAATATCGTAACGGTTTAATTAGTGTTATTGTTTTTTAGTCTATGTTGCTTTGTTTATAGATTCCGTATAGTAAGTACCTTAGTATTAGATTTATATTTTTTAGGCATAGCGCGGCAAATAAGCAGACTGATCACTTGATGGTAAGCAATTAGCACTCGGACACCTGCAACACTAGAAAGAAAGAAAGAAAATGCATTTATTTGGCCACTAGAAGAGAATGCTGTACCAAGTAACAAGTACGTTGCTGAACTCTTAAGGGGCAAGGATTTGGGGCTATCTATTTAGTCGTGAATTATTGTAAAAAGCTTGTCGGTCTGTTTAACGTATCATCAGATCAGTTCAGATAATTTTTCCTTGATAAACATTTTGTTAATATTTACTTTAATTATCACGCTTAAAATTTTACATGGTACAGTTATTGGCTTCATTAGTCATGCAGAAATTATATTTTTATAATAAAAAAAAATAAATTGACTCAAATGGTCCTGTACATCTTAATTTTTGTGTTATCATTTGATGCCAGTAGTCGGCAGTAGTCCGCTGTTCTTTGTTTTTCTCATTTGTAAACATAACGGCTAAAATTATCTACATACATATCTGTCAGTTAATGTCAAAATTATCCGGTAATTTGTCAGTACAACGTAGAACCATTTGTCATTCGCAATACTATTATCAATAACAGTGACAGCTCTCGAAACTACCCATTTGTCACTATTTGTACGTATAAATCTACAAAATCGTAGTTCTTACTGAAAGTCGTGATATAGACTGAATTAATGCTAAAATAATATAGTGCATCATGTGTGTATACGTTATTGTATAAGGAAATAAATTCATAATATAATCGTGAGAAATAACTCATCATACTATCTTAGTTTCAACCTAAATTCAAATCGGTAAGTCAAACAAATTCCTATCCTACACGAAATTACTCTTAAATATACACAATTAACGTCACCAAAACTTATCGTATACGGAACCCTAAGAAAACATCTGTACAATATCGATCTTTCGATACATCGATCGATCCGGCGCATCGCCGATCGGCGCCGGCGACCGACGGCCGAGCACGATGCACCGACACGCGTTAATTTTAGCCAGTCTTACTCGCGATGTCAAAGATATCGTACGATAAACGCGTACAAAAATCTCGACTACACACTAAATAAAAAAAAACTTAAAATAAAAAAGTGACAGTGATTTTCGCGCGCATTTGTCATGTCGCGATGACAGATTTAAAATAAAATGGCCGCGAGAGCCCGCGTAAATAACATACGTAATTAAAAAGTGCTCAGTGATAGATAAATCTGTCCTAATTCGTAGATAAACAGAGCTATTATTAAATGGGGGAAAAAATGGTGTGTAAGATGGGAATGAACGAAATGTGCCGAGTGATCGTTCTTAACGTGTTTCAACGTTGATTAGCTTTACACGGAAAAAACTATGTTTTTCATCAACGTTTAGGTACTTTGAGTTATTTTTATGAGTGAAAATCCAACGTATTCTGGTCTGCACGTTTTGAGTTGGTTCAGTAACGTTGCGGTCGTGGTTTCGAAAGTTTATCCCTATCGGATGCCATTCGGTCTTTAAAAACGATGTCTCTGAGTTCCATTCCTCGCTTTTTATTGTCGTTTGTTTAGCGGTTTGTTATCTGTGGTGGTTTATTGTTGTTATAAAAGTGCGTTTTTTTATTTACTTCCTTGGATTTTCTTCGGCAGTTCTCCGAGGAGACTTTTTAAGATTCAGGTATGTTTTTTTTTGTTTTTATGTTTAAATGTAGGTATATAATCGTTTTTAGATAATTTTGAAATTAGTATTAGTGGTGTTTTCTTTACATTTTTGATGAAATAATGTAACTAATAAATCATTAAAAATTAAACAGAATACGACAATTTTCTTCGGAAATTTTATACTCAAATTTATAAATACTGTCTCCACCAAAAAAAAGAATAGTGTTACTCGGAGTTCAATTTATACAACAATGGTGAAAAACAAACTGAAAACGTACCTAAAAAATAAATGCTATATTTCTGTATCCTGTTTTGATTTACGTAGATGAACAACATAAGTACCTAGTACTACAATTTGAACAGGAAAGAATTTTCGATTTATTACATAGAATAACAAATTTGGAACTTGTAAGAGCACGTAGATATATATCATATTAAGAAAAAATATCTTTAAAATTTCTGCTACAGTCCGAGTCGTTATGAATAAAATGGGGACCCTTAAAATCCAAAACGAGGCCTAATGCAAACAAACACACATACAATCAGACAAACATTTATTTATTAGACACTCAAATATAGATCTAACAACGTTAATAAAACGGATCAATAGTAAAATCTTGAATGGAAATTAATTATTGGAAGTAGAAGTAGGAATCGTTAAGAGCTCTTTATGAGGCAACTAAAGTCCTAAGTGCATGTATTATGGGATTTTATTACGGTGTCCCGTTTCTCCGTACAATTCTAAAGTTCAATGTCTTATGGACAATTCTGTATTAGGAGCACATCTAAATGTCTATTATCTACCTCTATATATTAAAATGAATCCCTTTTTCCCTTGGTCACAGCATCACGTAGGAATGGCTAGACCGATTGTATTAATTCTTTTTTTTTTTGTTTTATTCGTTATTATTAGGAAAAGATTCTTAAAAAGTCCTGAAAATCCTGTGGGAACGGGAGAAAACGGGATTGCTTGTACGAAGTCGCGGTCAGATGCTAGTGTAATATAAATATAATGGAAAAAAAATATGTCTATATTTTTCTACTAAAAATTCTAAGTGGATTTGTTTACGAGATCAACATAGTATTGAATAACAGCTTAATCACGTAATGTCGATGTGATTATTGTCGAGAGAAAACTCGACTAATTTCAAGTTCCACTAGAGGCTCATATTCATGAACAGAAAAGCACGACATTAGAAAAAGAATTAGTACGTAGTAGTGCGGGGGAATCGGACAACTTGATTCCCCATAGTCCTTTCCATCGTCACACTATAAGACAATCGGGGAAGCGTCACCGATTCACGGTGGATCTCCCACCCACACGTACAAAGCGCTTCGCATCAAGCTTCCTCGTGCGTACTGCTAAGGAGTGAAATTCTTTGCCAGAGTCTGTTTCCTGAAGGGTATAACCTGGGTGTCTTCAAGGCCCAAGTGAATAGGTTGCTTAGGCAGACGTGTTCTATTGTAGACCGCATTATCGCTTACCACCAGGCGAGATAGTGGTCAAACGTCGCCCATAAAGTATATAAAAATAAAAGACATTGGTTAAAACAATACTCCTTCTCTATCAATGCTCTCGCAATCCAGAACAAATTATATAAATCCGGTGTTACTAACAATAATATCTATCTACCTACTATGAAGTATCTTTCGAAGCTTGTTATTTATTCTTAGACAGTTAACTGATTCTCAACGAAACGTTTTTTTTTACTTTAGTATGTTAAAAGTACCAAACTGAATAGTTTGCGGTGTTTGAATTACATTTGTAAACATGCTGGAACGGGAATCGAATGTTTCTCCTCGTGCGTCACTCTGGAATCGGTGAAGCTATGTTTTATTTACATTTTAGAAGTTATTTTTGTTTATGCTGGGCTATTGAGACCCTATACAATTTTAATCGGCGATTGCGACCTCTCGCGTCCGGGCCTAGTGCAGGCTATGATGCGGAGCGAGGGATTGGGATGCCGTCTCCTCCTTTTGCGAAGCAGTCATGCTAGCTAAGGAGGAGGCGGGGCGCGTGAGGCAGCGAAGCGCTGCCTCCTCGCAACCCAGCCATCGCGAAGAACACACCGGGCGTCGGGGATCGCGGGACGATCTCCGGCCACCGTAAGCGCGGGCCTGCGGACGGCGAGCATGGGTGGCTCCCCGTCCGACCAGAAACAGACCCGAGCGTACGGCGCGTCGCGTTCCGCGCGCGCCTCAAAGAGCCATCAGACCACCACAGATGGGGCCCAATAGGGTCGATGCCGATTCGGAGTCGCGGAGAACCTAACGGGTAACCGGGGCTCCGGCTCGACGTGCAGGAGAAGGAATGGGGTGGTTTTTAGTCAGTAAGAGTCTGACACTCCCTTCCGCCTCACCCAGGCGGGAGCAGTCATTCGATGATTTTCCCCCCTTAAAAAAAAAAAAAAAAATACAATTTTAATCTGTATTCTCCTAGCTTTCCGCCAGTGACATCACTCGCTTTGCATGATCAAAGAAAATTATAGTAGTATACCTATACCTCATCATCAACAACCTAAAAATGACCACTGCTGACGAAACGCCTCTTCTCACACGGAGAAAGTTTGGGCATTAATCACCACACTGCCTCAATGCGGGTTGGCGATTTCAAACTTATAATTAGAAATTATAGGCTTAGATTTCCTCATGATGTTTCCCTTCACCGTTTGTCAGTGGTATCTAGAGATAATCTTAGAAAGTATATATAACTCAGAAAAAATCATATTGGTACTTGCCGTTTGGTAGGTTTCAAACCCACAATCTCATTCACTAGAAGCGGGCGTCTTAAACTTCTGGGCCACCACGACATTCAAATCAACTAAAACGAAGTCTTAATTAATTGCAATTATCTCACAAAATGAGAGTTCAATAACCTTGTTCCCGTCTGTAGCACAGAGTATACCTATGTGACCTATATTATACTTGTTTACCTTTCCCAGTTCATACCACAGACAGATTTCAAAGCAAACTAGTTTTTTATGTGTATATTTTCATTATCAAGAAGATTCAGGCGGAGTGTAAAATTTGATGATTCAATTTTTCATTTCATTCAGTTATAGGTATCTTTTCTTATATATATACATACATAGCCTCTCCCATGGGGATAGGCAGAGACTATTTCTTACAGACATAGTGTAATTCATGTACTGAAATTCCATTACGTAGACAAAAAGAAAGAGATTACCAAATGAAAGGTAACCTAAATATTGAAATTGAATAAACAATTGATTTTGTTTTTTTCTAAACTTTGCCCTACATTAGGATTTTCTTCTGTGTCGTGGGTGCGTTTACAAACATACAAGTTCACATATACAATAACACCCATACCCGAATAACAATTTGTGACAGATGATTTAGATGACACAAAGTGTAGTTCCGTGCGGGAATCGTACCCGCGACACGTTGCACGGCAGCCGGTTGCCCAGCCACTGCATCAACCGTGCAATTTTGTAGTTTAACTCGTCGAGTACCGGTTTTGCAGACACAATTATAGAACAATAGGTTGCGGTCACCGGTGACCGCTTGGTGTTTGACAGTTTAAAAGAAAAAGGACATGACAGACGACGACTAACCGCAAAAAGTTTTTATAAAATAGTTCGGCAAACGAATTCCAATTATAATTTAGAGATTGGGAATAGGGAAGAATTAAGTCTCCGGTAACCTCAATCCCACGCACGGTAAAAAAAACACAAGTGTTATTTCACGTCAGTCTTCAGTGAGGCCGTAGTATCACTCCGAACAAGCCGGCTCGTTACATTCCAGATTTAATAATCACAACGTAATTTAATTAGTCTTTGGCATACGTCAGTTAGGCTCATTAAATATCATACGGTGATGCTTTCTGTTTATAATAGTTTATCTCTGACGACTAACATAACATTATGACTGTCTCTCTCAAGGCGGTAAGCAGAATTACACGCAACGTATATCTATGCAGCCTATCATTTTACCATCCATCAAGTATAGAAGAGTCATGCTTCGGCACGAATGAGCCTCTCCATTGAAGTGATGCCATGGTTTCCTGTTAGGCCATGCATATTGAGCTATCTGACGTATGCCAAAGAACATTTAAAATTGCCATGTTGTTACAATTAAATCTGGAATGTAACGGACCGTCCGAAGTGATACCACGGCACAATACAAAGCCGGCGTGAAACAACGCTTGCATTGTGTTTCGCCGTATGTGTGACATTACTACCAACAGCGCGATAATATTAGTTGCCATAATATTTGTAACGTATACGTCCTGTTTTTAACATAACATCACGCCTTTTTATCCCCGAAGGGGTAGGCAGAGGTGCACATTACGGCACTTAATACCACTGTACAATGTCACACCCACTTTTCACTATTATGTTATGAGTCCCATGTAATAGGGGGTGAGCATATTGCCATATACCGGGCACATTTCCAGACTCCGAGCTACTACTGAGATTTTTAAAACCCAGTAATACTTTGCCCGACCCGGGAATTGAACCCGAAACCCTTTGCCCGGTAGTCGCACTTACGACCACCCGGCCAACGAGGCAGTCCTGCTTTTAAATAATCATCATCTGTGTATTTTTTTTTTCCTTTTGTACTACAATCTCTCGCCTTCTTTGGGACATTTAGCAGTATGTATGTTAGACGTTATGTGTCTAGATTTAATGACAAAAATCATTACGATTTTACGAATAATTTTACGATAACTTCCGAAGTTTTAGTGGTAGTTCTGTAAATGGCCCGAAAACTTTGTCATAAATTGGTCGTAAAGTGTTCATAAAATTTGTATAAACGTTTGATGGCGTGACTATATGGCGGATGTCTTGACATCAGTCGACATCAGTCGGAAACATATTGTATCAAAAATTCGTAGAATCAATTTCTGATCCGGAAAAAACATTTAAGAAAACTGTTATTGACAACAATGAAAAGATGTTTTTTATTCAAACTGAGATATATACAACACTAGCGACCCGGGTGATATAGGCATGTATTATACATATAAGCTTGACTTAAAAATCACTCTATCTA